AAAAAAAAGATGCGTGGGCCGGTAAAACAGGTTGACTGCGCATGCTCAAAAAATGACGCAGTGGAAAGCCACCACAATCGTAGATTGCTCTGACAGCAGTGGGAGATAAATAAAAAATGTGCTTCGTTTTGCTGATTTTTTAATTCATCAGGTCTATATAGAAAATGAGAATTGAGGATGATGGTTTTCTCGTACTTGGAGTTATATCAGTTTCATGAAATGAAATTTTGTATGTTAGAGGTTTAAGAAAAATTCGATTTGCTCATTTCACATTAGGTGACGAAGTATACCAAAAGAATCAAGACTGCTTGGGCTATCAGTGTGAGTATCTCTTGTTACTGATGCTACTAGGATGTTCCCAAATTCCGAGCACAGCTAAACCAAGCCATTCGATCCTGGGCTACACGCCTCCATGTCGGCGAAATATGGAAATTTCAAATCCAAATTTTGGAGACATTCGGCGCAAAGGCTGCTCCTGAACTTGGCATTAAAATTTCAGGTCGTATGAGAATCAATCCAGAACAATGAGTACATCAGCGACAAGAAAGCGACGGAAGCACGCAAGACACCGAAGGCCATCTTCGGAAGATCAAGACGAAGCAATTCGCCAAGCAGATTCGCCGAAATATTCTGATCCCAGAAAGCAGCGGCAATCAAGAAAACGTCGGAAGGCTGCTCGCAGACAACGGAAATCACGACAGCAGCAGCAGGTGAGCGGCGATTTCGATGTTGATAAGACTGATGAAATAATTAAAAGCAACAAGCATGCGAAAAAAGCTCCAACCAGCTTAAGCGAGACAGAAGAAATGCAACAGAGCGGTAAAATTGCGCAGAAAAATGAAAGATTTAAAAAAAAGAGTCGGAAAAGAGCAAGTGGCAAAAACACTGAGGAAGAAGCAACACCTTTTGTGGAAATGAGGAAGATGAATGAAGATAGCTTAAAGAAAACACCCGGGCTGAAGAAACTGAAGAAAACGCGAAGACATCCACAAACCAAGGAACAAATGGAAGGAATAAACAATCCAGTCGCTGATGGAATCTCTTCGGCTTCGGAGAAAACATTGAATGGCCCAGTAGTTGGCAGCACAGGTCCAGATGAAGAACCGTTAAAAACAGTCTCACACAGAAAGCTTTCGGAAGTAAAAAATTCAGCTAAACATAGACCCGAGATAAAAGCGGATTCCAAAAATAAGAGGGAAGGTTGGATAAAGGATAATCGTTTAGGCTCAGATGCTTGTAGAACCGAAAACGGAGATTCAAAAAACAGCAGTACAACTGGTACCAGCAGCAGTAGAACTACGGAAACAGCAGAAAAGAAGGACGAAGAAGAGAAAACAGGTATTAGGACGGCTGTTGAAAGTACACTCAAAACAGCTAAAAATATTGTCAAAAGCAGAACATCATCTTCAAATAAACAAACGAAGGCTGAAAATAATCTCTCAGTAAGTTCAAATCCCAAAGAGCAAAAAAATAAAAAATCGAAGGGCAAGTTCATTACTCCCAGTGCCGAGAGACGCAAAAGTAAAAATCCAACACTAGGACAGCTTGTCAAAAAACTAAGAAGCAACACTGCATCAATGAACAAAATTTTAAAAAAGAAAGGAAAAAAACTCAGAAAGAGCAAGAGTGATCCTGGAAAGCCTTCTTCTAATGCCAAAGTGAATCAGAAATCGAAGTTGTGGAAGTGGAAAAAAAAGAACAAAACTGCTAACCAAGATTCTAGCAGCGCAAAGACAAAT